GGCGGCAGGTGCAGTCGCGTTGAGGGGTGGGGGGGGGGGGGGGAGTCTAGTTGACATGTGCCGCTATTCTATTTTAGTCAATATTATGTACATAGACACAAGTGGAGGCAGCAACTGATCAAAATGTTATTTAAAACTAATCAAAGAGAACACCAAATAATGCCGTTATGTATCTCATGAGTCTACTGCTGCTCCTTCACGGTCCAATCACAGACTAGGGAGAGGGAGGTGACCTATCTCCCCAGCTTAACTGTTCACCAGGCTGGCTATGATGTATGATATGGGGCGGCTGTGTAAATCTGAGGACTGGATGGACAAAAATACAAATCCTTTGGCCAGTAGTAATAATTGCTTCCAATTGTATATTTAACATAAATTGTATGTGAAAACAATAAAATACTGTGATTTTTATGAAATATCGGTGTAATGAATGAGCTTGGGGTACATTAAAAGTCCAGAACCACACAAAAACACTGACCACCAATGTAAGAGGCCATTCTCCACTAACCACCAATGTAAGAGGCCATTCTCCATTGACCACCAATGTAAGAGGCCATTCTCCACTGACCACCAATGTAAGAGGCCATTCTGCACTGACCACCAATGTAAGAGGCCATTCTCCACTGACCACCAATGTAAGGCCATTCTTCACTGACCACCAATGTAAGAGGCCATTCTCCACTGACCACCAATGTAAGAGGCCATTCTCCATTGACCACTAATGTTAGAGGCCATTCTCCACTGACCACCAATGTAAGAGGCCATTCTGCACTGACCACCAATGTAAGAGGCCATTCTCCATTGACCACCAATGTAAGAGGCCATTCTCCATTGTCCACCAATGTAAGAGGCCATTCTCCACTGACCACCAATGTAAGAGGCCATTCTTCACTGACCACCAATGTAAGAGGCCATTCTCCACTGACCACCAATGTAAGAGGCCATTCTCCACTGACCACCAATGTAAGAGGCCATTCTCCATTGACCACCAATGTAAGAGGCCATTCTCCACTGACCACCAATGTAAGAGGCCATTCTTCACTGACCACCAATGTAAGAGGCCATTCTCCACTAACCACCAATGTAAGAGGCCATTCTCCATTGACCACCAATGTAAGAGGCCATTCTTCACTGACCACCAATGTACCGTGTTTCCCCGAAAATAAGACACTGTCTTATATTTTTTTTGGGCTCCAAAAAACACACTGGGTCTTATTTTCGAGGTAGGTCTTATTTCTTTTTTTTTTTTAATGTACAACAATCCACACTTAATCGTGTAGAAAAGTCTACATGTATTCATTTACAAAAATATGGTGATCAGGGCAATCGGGTGCCGTACCTTTCCAAGAGCAATTTGCTAACCAATCGCTGGCCAGAATGAGCAAAGTGCTCTTTCACTATTGATTCCTCACAGGCGGAGTGCATTTGGTATCACGCCGCCTGTGAGAGGAGTCGGCTTATGCGGCTCTGCTCCCTCCGGTGCCGCCTCGCTTCCTCTAGCACTGGCTTCGTTGGCACCGCTGATTCTCTCCTGCTCTCTCCCGCGGCTCTTCAAGTTCCCCCTTATGCCACCACCGTCCCTGGGAATGGTCACAACTGGGTCTTATTTTCAGGGTAGGTCTTATATTTTAGCAATTCCCAAAAATAGTACTAGGTCTTATTTTCGGGGAAACAGGGTACGAGACCATTCTCCACTGACCACCAATGTAAGAGGCCATTCTTCACTGACCACCAATGTAAGAGGCCATTCTTCACTGACCACCAATGTAAGAGGCCATTCTCCACTGACCACCAATATAAGAGACCATTCTTCACTGACCACCAATGTTAGTTGCCATTTCTCCATTTTTCGCATTTCAGATCTATGGATAAAATCAGTTTAGCAGAATTCTTGGAGACCAAATATTGACCTCAAGGGTTCCTCTGAGGTAAGAAGGTTGACAATGACTGGTCTATCGCCCTGCACAAGGAACTCACTGAACTGACCAGAACGGATCAGAATATCATTCCCTTTATTTGATAAGACCCCCTCAGCTTCTAGATATGAGGAATGTTCCAGCCTAAGCCGTAAAAAACGAGTTTTTGTGGATCTGATCATTCCGGGTCATTGAACATCACTCCTGCTTTCACTATATTGTAAAAGTAAAGCCAGTGACTTACCACGGTTGATATAACTTACCATTCTTTTCTGTTCCCTTAACCACTGCTCCCGAAACTCCTTCCGCCACTTCTCAATCTCCGTCTTCTTTGCTGACAGAGGCTAATAGAGGAAGACATAGGACTATGAGGCATGGGCAGTGGTATGGAGCCTTGGTTCTCAACTGGTGGGTCGTGACCCAAAAGTGGGTCGCTACTCCTTGTTCAGTGGATCGCCACATGCCTTCCATTTTCTAGGTGAGAGGCTACTCGGCCTCCCCCTAGCGCAGCACTGTTCATTCTCACACCGAGCAGCCATTCAAAATATGCTGCCCGGCGCCAAATGTCGACTTGAGGTGGGGTGGGCTGGGGGTATGGCCGCGAGAGAGCTCCATCCATACATTTATTGCTTATAGCGCTCTCGCACGTCTTGTAGAGGTGCCTGGACTGGAGTGACGTCACATTCTGGCTCCCAGCAACTCTACAGGCGCACATGGGAGCTGTACAAGCAATGCACATATGGATGGAGCTCCATCACAGCACAGCAGCCCACACTGCAATGCGTTCCATCGCAGTGTGACTTGGGCCGCGACTTAATGACCAAGGACAAATCTGAGGTTACACAGGTTGAGAACCACTGCTATAGAGTGTTTGAAAATTGTCCTTGTATCTTAACGATCATCAGCCTGTGCTCAGCGTACTTCCTCTGCTAATGTTTTCTTATTCTTAAAGGGTCAGTCTACCCAAAAGTGATATTTTAGTTATAGGTTGGACCCGGTGGTCTGATTTGGTCCCTCCTCCGGGGGGGTGATCGCTACAAGTACATATATTGAGAAATAATTTTCAGCTGGCATCATGAAAACAATGACAATATTAGAGATATTTGTAACATATTACTGAAGCCGTGGTCGGCACAGAAGGGTTTAGATTTTAGAACTTTAAATGTGTGTTCATATATTCATTATTTATGTGTCCATGAACTAAGGTTATAATTGTCATTACTATGTTGTATTTTCCCTAATTTTTTGTTGTTTACCTATATAAGGGGTGCGGTGTCCTTGTTCATGTAGTGATTCAAAACTTTTTACTATGTACTTTTTAATGACATTTAGTACTGATTATCCTAGATTAGGATCTTTGTATGGGGAAATGAATATTATATGTGACAGTAATTTGTAAAGAGACCCAAATAGGTTGATAAATTTTACATACTTTATTTAAAGGAGAACTATGAGGGGGGGGCGGGTGCTTTTCACTCACCTCATAGTTCTAGCCGACCTGTGACAATGAGAGTGTCACAGGTCGGCTCAGTAGATCGGGAAGTGAGGGAACACATACCGGCGTTCGCTCACCTCTCGATCCTGTCACGGCTCTCTGCCATGACAGGGGGAGGGGCTGGATTCTCCGCTCCGATCCGCCAGTGCTGACTGGCGGAACGGAGGGGGAGGGGGCGGGTACAGCTGGCTCTGCCTCTAGATAGGCAGAGCCAGCTGTCACTCACGCAGCTGGGCGGATCCAGACATAATTGTCGGGATCCGCTTCAGCTGCGGCGTCTCAGTATATAGGGAGCTGTAGCTCGCGGTATACTGAGCCTAGGGTGACGGGAGGACGCTAGTTTGTGTCCTCCCGTTACCCTAAGGAGAACTATGGGGAAAAACACTGACCTCATAGTTCTCCTTTAAGTACACATTTTTGGTTTCAAAATTGCTTAACGACCCCCCACCCAATCATATATTTTTTCCTCGTTCTAAATTATTTAGTCTTTATTTTAGCTTTAGTGGTTTTTTTTTTACAGGAAACACAAGGCTGCCATCGCTGTCCTCTTCTTTTAGAAATGATAATTGCCTGGCTGTCATCACCTCTCACTTATATTGGGATTTGCATTTTTATGAATACAGCTTCTGATGACAAGAGACGGCAGTAAAATATATGACGCCAACACAACTTTGCATATTCAGTAGCAGCAATAACAGAGACACATTCTGTATTACAGAGACAATCGGTTATAGCTATGAATATACAAACTAGACAAACTGACTGTATGTAACAGCCTTGGAACGCGGGATGATTGTTGGCGCTCGGAGCCATGGAGCGAGTATCAGCAAAACAGCAGAATTCGTTACATGTTCAAGAGCAGCTCATTGTTAAAGTGTTTAAAGACCGGACTGTCAGCCGAAAATCTGGGTGTGAACGTGCGAATTGTGGCCGTCAGCGACTAGTCAATGTTAGGGCAGAACTGGGGAGGGGCAAGACTGGTACAAGACAACAGAAGGGCAACAGTGCCGTGTCAGATCCCTCGCATCACCTTTCATCATCTCGTGGAGTCACCAGGCGGCCCAACGAAGTACTGATGGGGGGGTCATAATAATCTGGCCACTCGGTGTATAACATGCATAATGTATGATAAATGCATGTATCATCTTATAGGATGTTTATTGAATATGAATGGTCTGGGGTCAGGGTCTCTTTGTCTAGTACCAAATATAAGGTGCTGTCTAAATGAGTTAAAGGTTAGGAGTGGGGGTTGTAGCAACTACAAGGGTAGGATGGAGGGGGCTTAGGGGAACCCAAGGGGCCCAAGATTTCTGAAATGTATTGACTGTATTTTAAAGTCTAACAGTCAGGACCGGATTTACTCTCTCTGCTGCCCCGAGGCCAGGTTCCTCAATGCGCCCCCCTCCCCGCGAACTATCACCACCGCCCCCCCATGGAGAATGGCAGACCTGCAGGCTGCATACAAGTGATCATGGCGACATTGTCGAGATCACTTGTGACAAACAAGCGGTGGCTTCCCCGCTGTACATTTAGCTCTGCTTGCTCTGTCTCAGACCTGGAACATGTTGGTAGATTAGGACTTCTGACATTCTCTGACATTCCTAATTTATGTACTTGTTCCAGTTTAATGACTTTTGAAGCCAGACGGTCAACATAGCAGCCAGCCAGCATTTCAGAAGTAGGTCAGCAACGTGAGCCTTCCTATTTCTCTAGGTTTAGGGTTCCTTTAGAATGACAAATCAGCTTCATAGGGCTCATAAAATGTCAGTCCAGCTACTCACCAGGCAATACTGCTTCATCTGTAGCTTAGCCACTGTTTCAAGAGCTGAGGTTCCCGTGTGGGTTTCGTGGTCCAGAAGGAGGAGGTAGACATCTTGTAAAGGCATGCACTGCTGCAAGAGTCAACACAGACTGAATGACTGAGAAGCAAACTACACATTTAAGTAAATATTCCCACATACAAATCCATGATATGCAGATATACAGATCTACTCTCTTGGAAGAGCGAAAGTTCTATAAGTTGCTTCTCCTCCAGGGGCCGTGAGCTGAAGGCCAATGAAGGAAGAGCAACAAACCAGAGATGATAATTGTGGTTGTAATTCATTCTGCTGACTGCTGAAAGGGGAAGTACGTACAGGTGTTCATACATCTACCAAATGTATATCTCATATTTCATCTGAAGGTGACTGCAGTCTAAGCAAAACCAAGTTCATTATGAGGAACCATATTTCTATAAGGTTAGATGGACCAACCATAGAACAAGCCTCAGTCAAGGTCAACAATTGTCATAGAGTATTGCAATGTCAAATGGAACCCCAATGGCAATGGATTTCAGCTCTACTGAAAGGTTGTTATTTGGGTTCCCAGAAGTACGTACAGGTGTTCATAAATCTACCAAATGTATATATCATAGTTCATCTGAAGGGGACTGCAGTCTAAGCAAAACCAAGTTCATTATGAGAACCCATAGTTCCATCAGGTTATATGTTACATGGACCAACCATAGAGCAAGCTTCAGTCACGGTCAACAAGGGTTATAGACTATTGCAATGCCAAATGGAACCCCAAAGGAAATGGGGCCTCCAGCTCCACCGAGAGGTTGTTATTTGGTTTCCCAGAAGTACATACAGGTGTTCATACGTCTACCAAATGTATATATCATAGTTCATCTGAAGGCGGCTGCGGCCTAAGCAAAACCAAGTTCATTATGAGGAACCATACTTCTATAAGGACAGATGGACCAACCATAGAACAAGCTTCAGTCAATGAGGTGAGGTGAGTGAAAAGCACTCACCTCATACCGTAGTTCTCCTTTAAGCCTCATTCACACTGGAATCGGCCCGCACGTACAGCTCCGTGCTGCGTGCACGGCTGTATCTGGCAGCTCCCGGGAAGGACAGATGCTGCGCGTGATTGGTACGCAGCCCCCGTCCTTCTCTATGGGACTATGCGGCTGTACGCCGCCCTACGCTCACCCCAAGTGCAGGTCCGTACGGGTTTCCTGGCTCGGACGCAGACAGGATCCATCCTGTTAGTTTACGGACGTGCAGGGCGGGTGAGCGTAGGGCTGCGTACGGCCGCGTAGTCCCATAGAGAAGGACGGGGGTTGCGTACTAATCACACGCAGCACCTGTCCTTCCCTGGAGCTGCCCGATACGGAGCTGTACATGCCGGCCGATTCCAGTGTAAATGAGCGCTAACTCTCTCCTTGCAGAGGTCCGGCATGTACCCTGCCGAGTCAGAGCCATTGAGCCGAGAGCATGAGCTTTGCTGATTGCAGAGTTACAGGTCTGATTTAGCAAGGACCTCTGCAGAGAGACTACTGCTCCCGCACAGAGAGCAAGGGGCCTTCTCTGCGGCATGCTGGCAGGGGGTGGGCTGTACTGCTCATGCTGTGGCTGCTTTAGAAAGAAAGTAAACTGTACGACTCTGAGCACCTTTAGTTTTGATGCACTTGGAAAGTATTTCTCTGTTTTATACGTTTCGTTATTGTTAGGAAACGAGTTCCTCTTTCTCTGGCGTTTGTAAATTGTGTAACGTGACCCAGCAGTCAGCTGAATCTTGAAGTGAAACCGTTCTTTGCTGGTCAATAAATCACATACTGCTGGATTGGACAGGACAGGGCAGGAGGTTCAAGCATAGCTACACCCAAGAACAAAAATGTCATATATTACAGCTCGGCCGTCCATAGATGCGACCGCTGCATTCGTTTTATCTTTTCAGGTTAAGAACATTTTCAGCAAGTACAGAAAATACCTGTTGGTCCTGCCAAAAAATGCCTGTCCCTGTCACTTCCTGTGAGCTGATCTGGAAGCAAATGACAAGGTTATCTTATTTGTTTGAACACTAATGGAGATGAAGAAAGACTGCAAGTGACTACACTTACTTCTCCACTGTATCAACGGAGGAAGCCATAGTCGTCACCCAGGCTGGCTTCCTCCATTGATACGGTGGAGAAGTGAGCGTAGTCACCTACGGATGGGAATTAGGCTATTTGTAGGATCACAAGGTGAAGAGCCTGAAAAGAACCATGCAGCCACCACGTCTAAGAACTGCTATATATGACATTTTTGTTCTTGGGTTTCGGTACACTTTAAGCAGGCCTTGGTTGGCTACCGGATTCTTCATGGTTGATTCCAAGGCTTCAAAGCAACCAAGAGATGGGGTCCATTCAGCATGTTATACTGTGAGTCCTTTACAGTATAACATGCTGAATGGACCCCATCTTTCGATGTGGCACCTTAATCACAGACCCAGGAAAGGGATAGTTGGCTGTGCTTGTCAACTTGGCCAAAGGCTCCCAGTCCTCCCCTGGATGGTGGCTAGACATGTGCCATTCGTTTCGTTACGAATCGAAATTCGTAGGAATTTTCCTGAAATTCGTAAATTCGGAAGCATCCGAAATCCGAATTGCAGTTTCCGAATTATATCCGAAATACGAAATTCCGTTAACGAATTTCGGATCCGAATTTCTTTGAAACAGGAACTAATATTACCCCTGTAAATGAGGTTGAACAACATGACAAGATTTTTTTTTAAATCCGAAATACGGATCCGCTGCTGCTGAGAGTTGCATTACAACGCAGGCAGGAAACGAACATTCGTTGTATTGAAGCTAAAAAGCAAAGTACATTTATATTGGAGTTGATGGTAGTTTTTTTTAATACGAAATACGAAATTCGGATCCGGAATCCGTTAACGGAATTCGTATTTCGTTTGTTTGACCAATCAGAGGTCTTCTGCTGCTGAGAGTTGCATTACAATACAGGCAGGAAATTCGGAACCGGAATCCGTTAACGGAATTCGTATTTCGGATAAAAAAACCACTACCACATCGACTCCAATATTAACAAAGGTATTTTTGCTTTTTAACTTCATCATAACGAATGTTCGTACAGTTACGAAAATGTGCCGAAACTAACGAAAATCCGTATTTCGTACGAATCCGAATTGAGTTTCGGACACGAATTACGAAATAAAAAATAACGGATATTCCGAAACGAAACGGAACAAATTTTTGGACGGCGCACAAGTCTAATGGTGGCCACGAAGACAGAAGATCTCTCCAGTGAGAACATTTTCAGCAATATAAATAGATCCAACTAGTCAGAACTGGTGGCAGGTTTGTATTGCTGTCTTCATATTAATTGGGAAAATTGTGGTAAGATCGTGGTAACGGGAAGTTCTACTCCAACAGGGACCCAGACTGCCAACAGAAGTTCTTCCCCTTCAAACCCTAACCCTTCCTGTCTGTATTACAGGAAGCTCCAAGTCTCACACTAGATAACTGTACAGATCTGGAAGAAATACACAAAGCACACCGAGATTCCAGAAGAATACACATAGATCTTGTATGAGGACAATGTCTGATGATCCCAGAGATCAACTTTAATTATCATTGAAACTACAATAGCAGAGACCCCCAACCAAGACTATCCTGCAGAGTATCACGTTCTCCGTACCTGCTGGCCCAGGACGCTCCGCGCAGACTCACATAACCTGATGGTGTTCTTGGCGTATTCAGATTCTGCAGGAAAGAGAGAAGGAAATGGTGAGGGGAAGAAAGGAATCCACCAGAAACCATCACACACACAATTCTTTGGAGATCTCCACATATGATGAAGGTTGGGTCTTGCTGGGCCTTGTTGCTTGTCTTAGCTCAGCTGGACAATATATTTTCTTCAGGGATCTGAAACAGCACCGGCATTCAGGGCCAGATTCACTCTCTCTGCTGCCGCAAGGCCAGGTTCCTCAATGCGCCCCCCTACCTGACAACCCCCCCCCCTCCCCACCATGGAGAATGCCAGTCCTGCAGCCTCCATACAAGTGATCTCGCCGAGATCACTTGTACAAAACAAGTGGCGGCTTCCCCGCTGTACTAGGGTTGCCACCTTTTCTTCAAGCGTATCCCGAGCACTCTAACGACGCACGGATATTTTTTGGGGGGAGAATGAGTTGTGGCTTATTCATATGTAAATAGCGCCAACCCCTAATATGTAAATATCACAGTTGAGACTATTTTCAGTGGGGGGGCCAGTAGCCCCTATCTTAATTTTGATTGCCCCTGTCTACCTGACCTCTTGTGTCTGGGTTTCTGCTGCCATGATACCCAGACACAGCATTCAAAACCCGGACTGTCCGGGTGAATCCTGGACAGGTGGCAACCCTACGCTGTACATGTAGCTCTGCTTGCCCAAAGCAGGGCCCAATGTAGAAAACAACTACCCGCCCGGCGCCCGGAACTGGATCTCCAGGGTGTACGGAGATTCCACACCCCTGCTCCCTCGATCCCAGGCCAGAGTTGGCCTTGTGGGAAATCCGGCCCTGCCGGCATTATGAATGCCACTCCAGTTCTTATGTGAACTGGTCATGGAGTGGCCCCATTGGAGTTCAAGTCGAGTTTCACATCTTCACTTCTTCTTTTGCCATATTTGCATTGCTGTACAATGTATTTAGAGTTGTATTATCTACTAAATTATAATTCGTTCTACTGCAGTTACTCAGCTGCCTAGATAGGGAAGGATGAGCCGTAAAGAACGAGCACTGTGGAGCACTATGGAGGTAGGAGGCCATTCCTATAAAGCATGGGGGGAAAGGTGAACCATGCCCCCGCCACCCACCTGCATGATGAAAGACAGGAAGCCCTGTATATGCTGATCCTAGGAGAACATACAGGTAACTGTGACTAAATGTTTTACTTACACCTTTGTCTGCAAATGTAAAACTGTGTTACAAAAATGTGAACCCAGCTATACAGCCTTTAGGAATCTCAGCATGTATTTAAGCTAGTATGATAGAGCTAGTAGAAGAACCTCGGTGTGTTTTTATATTAGCATCCTATGAGTCAGGCTCCAAGAAAGAAGCAGCACCATGAGCCAGTTAGGCTTTCACTGCACCGCACAGTGATATCAGTTTAACAGTGGGAGCTTGCTCCCAGGAGGGTGGCAGCAGAGAGAGAGAGAAAGAAGCCAATCGGAGCGCATCAAAATGCACAGTACATGTGCTGCTTATGCAAGGTCACTGAGAACCGCTCCTGGCAGCAACAGGCCACATCCCCTTGCCTATGCTGAGTACAAAGTTCGAGATAAGGCACAATGAAAAATGCATGAAAATGGAGCGTTTAGGTGTGCAGCCAACCATGGGGTCCAATCAGCATGCTGAGAATGGTCAATGGCCAAGCGTTATTTCATAAATACAATGGGGGAAAGTGAGGTCACCGGCCTCACCTATCTGTCCCCAAAATGTTTTAACATATATTGCAAGGCTATAGTCCGGTCATGCTGACTGGTGAAATTTTTGACTGACTGGTGAGACACCGCCAAATTTTTCAAGCCCTGTATATATATATATACACTGTATATCATCACCAGGACAGGAAATACTAACTAACCCTTCCAGGCTCTATCCAAAATAAATATGATGCTTTGTCTGGATTCGGGACCCAAAGTGAATATGGCAACCAGCAGTGGTCTCCTAAAGAGGTCACCTCTTCCACACATAGATTAGGGGGCCCACTGTGCGGCTGCTGGCCGAGGACAGGCTTTTCTTCTGACCTCAGCGGGAGCCAGCTGTCTCTTCTGGGTTCTTCAAGGCAACCCCAAGAGACGCAAAGCCAGGTCTGCCCTTCTCCAGCCGTTGACTGTAAGCTGAAGCCTCCTGAGATATCTGACGTGGATATTCCAGGCAGGGCTGTAGCTACCATGGGGCGAGTGAGGCACCCGCCTCGGGTGCAGCTGAGAGGGGGCGCAGCCAGGGCCGGCCTGGCTGCGCCCCCTTGCCCCTGTTGCCATGGAGAGCACAGGGC